CTTTCACAGAAAGCTCCCGCAGCAGTGAGTGGCAGTCCTGTAGGGAGGGTCCTGTGGGCTCCTTGCATTCTCAAATGGAAGGAATTGCTTCTCAAACTCAGTCAACACATTCCCCTTTCCATTTAGACTTCCAGAATTTCATCCTCTTCCTTTAAGCCCTTTTTAAAATTTGGGGTTGATCACATTTATTAATTTTGAGGTTGATAATGTAATATGTAAGCATTATCAAAAAACAGTAACAGTTTATTTTGTATATCGGAGTCCATCCATCACTGCAGTACTAAGATGCCCAAGGTGTATTTCCACTTGGACTGGACTTTTAAACATAACCGTGCCATACGATCAAGTGGTGATTAAAGCTCACTTAACCAGGGCAGAGTCGTCCCCATCGGAGAGGCTACTGCAGGGCCATGGGATGTGTTGGGCCAAGGGGTGCTCTGGGCTCTGCTGTCCGGGCAGAGGAGGGAGCTCTGCCAGGTGCACTCGCCTTTGCCTCCTTTAGGTATCACTCCTGCTCAGGGGTCCGTAACAGACATCAGGTCATGCCATCAAGAGCCCAGTTGAAATAACTGCCTCCAAGTGCTCCAGGCAGGAGAGGCAGCTGGAGGAGGGCAGGAATGAAGAGGAGACATCCCCCTTTCTGACAGGTGCTCCCTGCAAGCCCCAGGAGGCCGTCATTCTGTCAAAGGAGTTGGGGTGGCAGCCCCCTGCCCATCCAGAAAAGGCCTCGAGCCCTCACAAGTGGGCGCCCAAGGGGACAGCCACCACCAACCCAGAGGGGCACAGGTGGAATGTGGTAGAAGCTTGAGTTCTCTTCAAAGGAAACAAAGAATGACCTGTTCCTGTGGCTTCCCTGCATCTCTTTCCTTCCTGCTCATACATTTGGAATAAGCGGCCAGAGCTTACCTCTTACCACTGCCTGGGTTCAGCAACCCTGAGAAAACTGCGTTCTCTACTCTAGGGCTCTCTGCCTCTTCCACCAGCCCACTCCTCTGCCCATGGTTTCTGTGACTCCCTGTTCCCAGAGGCCTACCCCAGGTGAACAGAGCACAGGGAAAGGAAGCCGCTGAGAGACAGACGCAGCTCGGCCCTGGCCTGCCCGCTGCTCCCTGACCACCAGACCAAGCCTGGCTACAGCGGTCCCTCAGGCTCCACAAGCCCCATCCTGTTAGAATGGCAGTGGCGCTGCAGTGGAAATGGAGCTCCTACGTGAGACAGTGTTGGAAGAGATGGTGAAAAGTCCACCACCTTCTGCTGTCAAAAGCCTAACCACAGAGGGGTATCAGCCTCAGACTGGATCCCACGCTGCCCTCAGGAGCCGTCAGCCGCACTCATCACCTTTGTCCACGTGCCAGGGGAGTGGGCACCTACTGACGCCATCAGCAAGCAAGAGTCAGGGCTGAACAAAACACGTCCCCGTTCATTCCTGCTGGTCACAGACCACCGAAGGAGGCCCATGAAGCAGACTCACAAGCGTGGTGAGGGCCTTTGAACAGAAGATGGTCTTAGACTAGCCGGGGGACAAAGGCATGTTGGCCTTTGCTGAGAAGTGACAGTTCAGTCATGCTGTATCCAAAAACACAGGCACACTGCGGCAGGCAGAGCACCCTTTGAGAGAAGATGACCACTGGACCCATAGGCAGGAGAGCCAGAACTCTTGGCAGGGTGGAGCCACGTGACTCCCGACCTCGCTCAGTTTCCAAACAACAGAATTGTGTTCATTAAAAACCCAGGGACAGCCGGGCACATGGCTCACACCTGCAATCCCAGCACTTTGGGAGGCTGAGGCAGGTGGGTCAGCAGAGGTCAGGAGTTCAAGACCAGCCTGACCAACATGGCAAACCCCCCCCATCTCTACTAAAAATACAAAAATTAGCTGGATGTGGTGGCACACACCTGTAATCCCAGCTACTTGGAAGGCTGAAGCAGGAAAATCACTTGAACCCGGGAGGCGGAGGTTGTAGTGAGCTGAGATCGGGCCACTGCACTCCACCATGGGTGACAGAGTGAGGCTCCGTCTCGAAAAGCCCAGGGAAGGCAGGCATGGTGGCCTGTAATCCCAGCACTTTGGGAGGCTGAGGCAGGCGGATCACAAGGTCAGGAGCTCAAGACCAGCCTGACCAGTATGGTGAAACTCTGTGTCTACTAAAAGTACAAAAATTAGCCAGGCGTGGTGGCGGGCGCCTGTAGTCCCAGCTACTTGGGAGGTGGAGGCAGAAGAATCACTTGAACCCAGAAGGTGGAGGTTTCAGTGAGCCAAGATTGAGCCACTACACTCCAGCCTGGGCAACAGAGAGAGACTCCATCTCAAACAGGCCTAGGGAGCAGGCATTTAGGGAGGCCTCGGTGGTAGAATCTGGCGGATATCGTCTTTGGCTAATCTTGCAAGAGCTCGGGTTCCTCTCAGAGACGGCAGGAGGTTGGACAGGACTCGCTCCCTTGACCCTCTCTGAGGGCCGTTCCTGTGCAGCCATGGGGGCAGGGGCCACTACATTCGCTTGACTCTGGTGAATATTTGGATTGCCTCAGATCATCAAGGAAACACTGCAGCGGAAAGAGTTGGACTGAATGCATAGTGACCGCAGGACGCTTCTTGGAAATTGCTTTTTAAAATAAACCCCTGCCATCAGCCTGTTTTCATTTGCCTCCCTACCCCAAGAAGCTGAGTTCAAACATAAACCTCCATTCTTCCGCGTTCTCATCAGGTGCTGCTGTAAGATTTCAGGAGAGGGAAGGCTGGTCTGGCATCTCCACCCGCGATCTGCATGTTTTTAACGGTGCTCAGGCAGAGGCTCTTTACAGTCAGGCAGGAAGTGTTTCCTAGATTACTCTGCAGTGTTTATCTTTGACAGCCTGGCGTTCCAAGAGCCATAAATTTGCTGTTTCCTTGGGTTTTCTTGAAACTGGGTGCCTCTGTGTGCAGTTGAGCCCACAGGGATTGAAGCTAGATTTCAGCTCTAGAGCAGTCTGCGTGCAGGGTGAGCTTCTGAGAGCCCTTGGGTGTGGGGCAAGCCTCTCCCAGGATGGCAGCCAGGCTCCCTCAAGTCTCTACCCTTGCAGGACCTGCAAACCTGGCCTAGAAGGTGGGCCGTTTGCTCCCAGCACACACAGGCAGGCCCAGGTCAGATCTGTGAGCCCTGTCGCAAAGCCCCGATTCTCTCCGTCTTCAGGGGGATAAAAATATTCCTGTCTGGGACTCGCCCTCCTTCTATAAACAAATCAGTGAAGTCCCAGCAACCCCGGGTGTGTTGTCGTTGGCACCTTCACGTAAGAGTGCCAGCCACCCACCCAGGCTGCTCCTTGGAGAGAGAAGGGGCTGCCATGGCCAGAAAGCCTCCTGGTAGTTGGAAACAAGGGGGTGTGGGGGCTGCTCAGGGATCGGGGTGCAGGCCTCCCAAGTCGGTGCACCCTATTACTCTCTTCCTGCTCAGACCTCTCCAAGTTGCTTTCCCGAGAAACCTGCAGGACAGCGGGACAACATGGGGTTCAAACCAGAACAAACTGCGCCTCAACTTCAGCTCTGCCACTTCTGAGGCTCCCGCCTTTCCCAGTCCCATCTCGGCGGCCACATCCATACAGTGGGGACGCAGGCATCTGCCTTGCACGTCATTTTGAGACAAAGATGATGTTGTAAAAAAATTCGTTACGTTGGAGAGACCCCATACAACGTGGAGTTGACCGACGAGGGAAGATGTGCCTGTTCAAGTGGACCTGGGCAGGGCAGTGGGTCCCCTCCTCCCTCCGAGCCCTGGCTGTCCCTGCCCATTAGGTCTGCAGAGCAACTTCCTTGGCACTGTTCAGAGACCCTCTACATGTGGGTGTCTCCCTGGAATGTTCTAGCATCCCCTTTGAACTTGGTGGGATCTAAATTTGGACCCCCAGCTTTATCACTCGTGCTTGACTAAGCTATCTTATGTTTATTTTTTCAAGGCTTTTGGGGATTTCTTTCATCAGGGAAAGGTCGGAAGTAGATGTCCCACAGAACAGTATTAACAGGTCGGCACCCCTCCCTCCTTACCCATGCTCGGGAAGTGGGGGTGGGAGCAGCACTCAACTCACTTTCCTGTGCCCTCAGAGTTCACACCTTGGGCAGGAGTGGGGATGATTCTCCTCCCCTCATCTGACAAGGAGTTTGGGCTTTGGAGAGAGGAAGAGAGGGAAACGAATGAGGTTTCGAGGACTGTGGGGCTGCCTGAAGAGAGATTTGCCTCTCAGGGGGACACTGCTTCTCACCCCTTCATCAAAGTGTGGCTGTGATGTGGGAGTGTGTATTCTAGCTACTGCAGAAGGCACGGTAGCTTCCCCAGTCTCATCGCACACACAGCAATACAGATAACGTATGTCATGACTTGAAAGTATTTTTGGCTCCATGAGGCCCTGCTAACCTGACCTACCCAGATAGGTGAGGCTCTCAGAAGTCATCGCCACACTAGAAGACCCATCCTTGTGAATTCAGGGGCTTCGGACAGATAAGGAGACAAGAAAGCAATCAGGTAGGCTTTGCACATTTTTAAAAATTGAAAGAACCATGGTCCTGTGTGTCTTGGAAACCATCATCTCTAAATTTCATGTCAGTTCAACTTTGGCAGTGCTTAAGGAGGTTAGAAAGACTCGTGAGCTGTGACTTTCCTCATTACCTCTCCTCTGCCTTAGCATCTTCCTGGTCCCAAATTCCTGTCCACCGAAGGCAACAGACAGAACCTGGGGCTGACACTAGGAAGAGGACAGAGACCTGATTTCTCTTCCTCAAAACTGCATTTCAAAACAGTCCTCCCAACAGCTGTCTTAAAAAATTTCACTCCCATCTGCAACTTGGTAAAGGCTGTGGATAAAAGGTTTTTTGGTTTTTTTTTTAGTGGTTTGCTCCTTCCCACTTCAAAGCGCTTTTTTGGGACATGCATCGCAGTTGAGGGTCAAAGGACTTCAGTACAGAGAGACAGCGCAGAGGCTTTGGTCATAACCTCGATGCACTCCCACCCTCAGCCCAAGCCAGGCTGTTCTATCACCGCTGTTCAGTCTCACATCACTTCAGTGGTGAGCCTTTTGCAGAAGATGAAATCAGACAACAGGTAAGGTCACCTAGCAGGTGCACCAGCCAAATCCCCACAGTGAATGCTGAGTGGGGCTGTTCACGAATGGTCACAGCAATATTCTGCTGTCTCACGTCCCTGCCACATCCCCTCCCCATGAACCCAGGGTGGGGTCCTTGTCACTGCCTCAGTAGAGTGCAGGAAAGGTAACATTCTGTGATGTGAGGCCGAGTTATGAAAGGCCACAGAGCTTCCATCTGACCCTCAGAATGTCCACCTTAGGAAGGCAGCCACCATACTGTGAGGAAACCCAGGTCACTTTCTGAAAGGCCTGGCTCTTCTCTCCCCGCTTCATTCTATCAGTTACCTCCCACGTCACTGTCGTGCCTCTTAGAAGCTACACAAAAGAGAACGGGATGGAGGAAGGTCCTAATGCTACTTTGAGCTGCATCTTTGCTTCTCTGACATCCACACATACTTGTCCTTTTGCATTTTCTGGGACCAGGACCAGGAGCCTGTAGTCAGGCTCCACCAATGGCAGATTCACAGGGAAGCCTCAGCCCTCCTCACCTGCATAGCCCTTCTAGTTTTCGTGTTGTGTTTTGGATTTTCTTAGAAGCCCTCCAAAACCCTATTAGCCACCCACCCACAAAACGTCCAAGCTGCCCTGTTCTTGCCTCTTTCCAGAGGAAAGAGATCTCGCTGTGACCCCGCCCTCATCACTCTGCAGGGATTCTACTCTCAGAACCGGAAGTGTCTCTCCCTGGGACTCTGCACTGTAGGCTGAGGGGGAATGTTTGACGATGATGAAAGGGTCAGTTCATCATGAAGACACAACAGTCAAATGTGCATGGACATAAAAGAGCTTCAAAATGCAGGAACCAAAATTCAGCAAAATTAAAAGAGAAAATGCTAGGCCCTGGCTATGGAAAAACATACCCCTCTCTCAGCAATGGAAAGAACTAGACCAAAAGAAAAAAGGAAAGAAACCATCTGATCACCACCTCCACCTGCTCGGCACTGACAGTGCAGACGTCTTTGCCAAGAAACTTCCGCAAAACATCACCACAGTTTGCTTTCCCCACGGTGAGTGGCAGCCGCCTCAGGAATGAGGGGGCCCCTGCCCTCAGTGCCCATCAGCTCTCGCAGCGTTGGTCAGAAGAGATGGCAAACCCCAGAACTTCCACAGAGAGCCCATGTGAAGTCTGTAAGGGTCAGATGCCATTAGTGCCACAGAAAGTGACCCTTCTCTGTGCGTGTGGTTGACACTTGAGAAAGAAACAAATCCCCATCGCTCCCCCTTTAGCGGGGAGACCGAGCCTTGGAAGCTGGGTTGCAACGTGGAGCCCGTCTGCCCCCAGGGTCACTCATCTGAGCTGGCCTCTCCAGCTTCCGGCTATAAATAACTGAGGGGCAGGCCTGCAGCCTGGAAGGAGACAGGACGCACGCTGCTTCCTTCTGCCTCTGCGGGTGAGGGGGCTTTGCCCCACCCCCAGTACAGTCCACCTTGTGCTGTACGAGAAGTACCCAGGAGCCGGGAGGCCTCTCCATGTGTGCAGGCCCTTGAGGACCACTGGTTGGGACACAGGAGTTGGAGCTGCCTGATGACGGGTGTTCTGTGGCTTTTCTGTCACCCAGGCTGGAGCACAATGGCGTGATGACAGCTCACTGCAGCCTCGACCTCCTAGGCTCAAGCTATCCTCCCACCTCAGCCTCCCGCGTAGCTGGGACCACAGGTAGGAACCACTGCATCCAGCTCATTTTAAAATTTGTCTTTTGTAGAGGCAGAAGCTCACCGTGTTGCCCAGGATGGTCTTCAAGTCCTGGCCTCCCACAGTGCTGGGATGACAGGCCTGAGCCACTACCCAGCTAGACCCTTCCTCTGAATCCCTGGCAGGTGGGAAGTGGCCCCAGCTACTGGACAGTGCTGGCCAGCATCCTAGGTAAGGAGAGGCAGGGCGGCCCCCACGGTGTTAATTCTCTTCCGTGTCCCAGGAGCAGGGGGCCGACTCTGCTCTGGAGAGTTTTCGGGCACTCAGCTTCCTCCTCAGGGAGGAGAACTTGTCCCCGAGGACCTTACGCAGCCCTGCACTGTCCCTGCCGCAGGGAAGTTCCTGCCTGGTGGCCGGGAGCTGGCCAGTGAACATCTCCCAGTGGTCGAGGGCGTCCACAGCTCTGTCCACCTGCGCCAGCTCCTCCTCCGCCCCTTCCCGCTGCAGGGCCTGGATGCACATGGCCAGCCACCGTTCGTGCTCCTTGATGGCCTCCGCTGGGCCCCCAAGTGAAAGCGGAGCCTCGGAGGCCTCCAGGGAGCTCAATCCATCCTCTGGCTCCAGCCCTGAGGATAAGGCATGACTCCAGGCGTCAGGGGTGAGGGGCTCCGACGTGCTGGTGCCGGGCTCTGAGTCACTCTCACAGCACATGCCTGAGTCCGCGCTGACAGGCGGGGTGTCCTCCCACACCGATGACTCCCCTGCCTCCTGGCTGGGCCACGTCCCTGCTACCGCCTGAGTCCAGGTGTAGAGTCTCTAAGAGGGAGAAACACAGGCTAAGTTTACTCCAGGCCAGCCCTTGTCTAGACAGGAAACTGCCCAGAGACCCAGCTCCTAAGGGGGTCTCCAGTGTCCTCAGTTGCGCAGGAGTCAGACTGGTTACATGAGGGCTCTTCCTACCAGCGGCCTTTTGAGGACTCACGTCCAGGCTGTGCCAGAGTGGGAGGTGCCCACCCCCAAGAGCCCACCATTCACCATTCAGGCACTTCACCAACTACTTGTCCAAAGTTAAAGAACAGAATGCTGGGCTGGGCGCGGTGGTTCACGCCTGTAATCCCAGCACTTTTGGAGGCCAAGGTGGGCAGATCACAAGATCAGGAGTTTGAGACCAGCCTGGCCAACATAGTGAAAACCCACATCTACTAAAAATACAAAAAGTAGCTGGGCGTGGTGGTGGGTGCCTGTAATCCCAGCTACTTCAGAGGCTGAGGCAGGAGAATCGCTTGAACCTGGGAGGCAGAGGTTGCAGTGAGCTTAGGTTGCGCCATTGCACTCCAGCCTGGGTGACAGAGTGAGACTCTGTCTCAAAAAAAAAAAAAATTAGCTTTCTATATCCTTTTTTCTCGGCTCACTGCAACCTTCGCCTTCCAAGTTCAAGCAATTCTTCTGCCTCAGCCTCCTAAGTAGCTGAGATTACATGCACCTGCCACCACACCCAGCTAATTTCTATATTTTTATTAGAAATGGGGTTTCACTATATTGGCCAGGCTGGTCTCGAACTCCTGACCCCAGGTGATCCACCTGCCTCGGCCTCCCAAATTGCTGGGATTACAGGTGTGAGCCACTGTGTCCAGCCAGAAAGCTTATAATTTAAAATTTTTTTAATTTTAAATTTTAAAACAAAGGTTTGGGCACAGTGGCTCACGCCTGTAATCCCACCACAGGGAGGCAGAGGCAGGAGGATCACTTGAACCCAGGAGTTCCAGACCAGCCTGGGCAACATAGTTGCCCAGGGAAAAAGAAAATGTAAAGCAAAGGGAATACTTGAAACTCACTTCCTAAATATTTTCTACATTTCACTCTTAACTCTGCTCTCCTGCATCTGTCCAGGGGACATGAAGTTTAACACGGTCCCACCTAGTGCCTCTTCCTGACTCAGTGCTCACTGACATTGTGTTGGGAGCTCATATCAGCCATGGCAAGACTTTACACCACAGCAAGTGGCAGAGACCACAGGTTGGGCTCTTTCTTCTAGAGGCATTTCACCAATTGCTCTCGATGGACAGCAGTGACCTTTTCTGGCCAGGCCTGTGGTAAGCTCTCCAGCACCTGCCAGAGTCCTCAGGAGCTAGCCCATTGACCAGGGACAGCAGGTGACCTCACATCTGAACCGCCACCCTCCCTCCCACAGCCAGGAGGGCCAGGCCACCCTGGAGTGCCTTCACCCCAGCCCTCTTCCCTCCACAGCCATGGGAGATGGTGCTCGTGGAAGGGAGAGCTCTGGGCAGGAGAAGCTGTGCCCTCCAGCTCAGATTCCAGGCAGATCCAGGCTATGCCATGTCAGATGGTTGCACAAGACCCCAAGTTATGGCATCAAGTGAGAGCTCATAACTGTTTCTGCAGCCCAAGCTGCCCCTCACTATCGGTACGAGGGTACTAAGACCTGCCCCTTGACTGGGCACAGCTGGCAGCAGCAACCTTTGCAAGGCATCACCAGATGCCGATCAACCATAACGCTTCCTGCACCCTCAGGAGACATTCCTCTCCTCAGCCACGGCTGCACCTGGGCTCCACCCTAAGTCACAGGCTCCCAGCCTTCCACCTGGGAAAGCCGTGGCCTCTGTGCCCGCTTCGCCTTCCCTTTACTGCCTGAGTCCCTGCAGTGAGGCGGCACTGTAATCTGGAAGTACCCCGGTCTCTAGGTGAGCAGCATCACCTGGGAGCCCTGCAAGATGCAGCTCCTCGCTCTGCCCCAGAGGGAAGGAGGGCCTGCCCTGCCCTGCAGCAGGAGATTCTGACAGGCTCAGTCTGCAAACCACGCCCCCACCTGCCACCAGCTCCTGGGCCCAAGACTAGGAGGAGGACGCGGGTTTCCTAGCACCATTTAATCCACAGCTCTTGTGCTTTTGCGCAGTGACATCTTACAAGTTGTTTTCATCCAAAGCTGGGTTTAAAGAAAAATTGCCACCATTTGCCTTTGCACTCTGAACTCAGAGTAAAGCTTCTGAGTTTGCAAACACATCTTCCCCCATGAAGAGGGACAAGCCCTTTGCTCCACAGCCACAGCAGAGGGGGTTTGGGAACAGAGGCCGCCTCCAACACAGCCTTGCTCTGGCAGCTCCCGCCTCTTCCCAGGGGGCCTGTGCCACCTCGAGCGTCAGTGACCCAAGTGTTGGTGATGAGAAAGAGAAGAGAAAGTCACCCTGGGAAGAAGACCCTGCCACCACCCCTCCCCCACCAGGAAGGCCCCTCCCAGCTGGGGCTACAATCCCAGCTCTTCCTGACGGAGAAAAGCTCTTTGCCCACCCCTCCTCCTTCCCGTCCAACCCCGCTGCATCCTCCTAAGTACTCGCCACACGCAGGCACTGGCAGGACTCGCCCTGCCGCCGGTGAGACCGGGTGGAGCTGGAACGCGGGTCCCGGGCTCTGCTGGGCTGGAACTTGGCAGTTGACAAAGCGTGTGCGCGGTCCCTGTGCCCCGCACGGTCTCCAGGTGGCGCTCGCGGGCCTCCGGAGTGCCGGTACCAGCAGCCGGGCTGCGCGACTCACCTGGTACCTCTCGATGAGCCTGAAGCCCAGGACGTGCTGCAGCTTCCGCAGGCAGATGGGACAGAGGTCCAGGGGCCGCCGCAGGGCCTCGTCCAGGCTGAGCGCGCCCTGCATGAGGCAGCGAAGCCAGCGGCAGTTCCCCAGGCCCAGGAGGTGGCAGAGCTCATGGCACGTGACCTGGGGGAAAGGCCACCAACCACCTTAACTCACTGCCTTGTCCCTGCCTCGGGCAGGTCCCCAGGCAGCCCCAACAGGGCTGAGAGGAGGCCCCTGCAGGCACCCTAGGACCTGGGTGAGGTTGGCCGCCAGGAGTTGGTCCGGGCACCCCCCCCCTTGCCCCAGGCAGCACAGGATGGCCACATTCAGGGCCCCAGGGGAAGCCACACAGGACGGGGGCTTGGGAGCCAGACAGACTTAGGCTCTAATATCTACCCTGCTTTAGCTCTGTGGCCTTGGTTTCCTCATTCTGTAAAGTTAGGGGTTGCTTCTCTTCATAGTGAGGATTGGGAAATGTGACAGAGCAAGGCCACACAGGCTCAGCCAGCACCCTCCCGTCCCCTCTTCCCAGGCCCCTCCACCCACCTTGCAGCACTGAACCATCCCCAAGGCGCTGAAGCACAGGGCCCAGCCTCTGTCCTGCAGGGGGGCCTCCGGGCTGTCTGTCACCGCCTCTCCCAGGGCCGGATCAGGGGCACTGGGCCCCGACTTTGAGAATTCCCCCGAGAACCGGGCAAAGCTGCACACGCCCACTTCTGGAGAGAGATGGAGAGAAGGGCACTCTCAGGGGTCAGCCTGGGCTCCAGGGGGCCCACAATGAAACCCACCTTACGCTCTCGTGCAACACAGCTACAGTCCAAGGACACACTGGTCCTGGGCGGCCCTGTCCTGCCCACGTGTCCATGTGAAGATGGGCCCTGGGGCAGAGGAACAGCTCCTATGCCATTCCTCCAGACCTGGAAGGTGGCACCTGTTCGTGTGCATGGGTGTTCACTTCTACCAGCAGGGTCCTTGAGGCAAGAGCAGAGAGGGTGCTCCCCCCAGGCAGAGGGGGCCCTGGCTCACCGTGCCCTGGAAGGAATTTGCTGAAGGTGAAGCTCCAGGCCTCATGCGGGTACAGGTCAGACAGTGTGAGGCCCAGCACGCACAGCGCGTCTCCAGGCTTGTTGTTCTTCAAGAAGGACAGGATGCCATCTGTGAGGAGAGGGCCAGGGGATGGGGTCAGGAGGCAGTTGGAGACGCCCATCTTCCAGGCCCAGGCCAGCAAACCTTGTCATTCTTTTCCTCTCCCTGGAACCCGTCCCCTCCCAAGTCAGGCGTAGGCCAGCAGCCTCTGGTCTGACCCGAGGGCACACAGTGCCCAGAGCTGCATGATGTGAAGTGAGGGCTGGGACCATTTGGAGATCAGGACATAAGTCTGAGAAGGCCATCGACAGCCCAGTGAGGATGCTAGAGAGGCAGCCAGGCCAACAAGACTCACGCTTGTAGCCCCAGGAAGGATAAGCCACCGTGGCAGCTGAGTGACGGCCCCAGCAATGTCCACGTCCCAGCCCAGGGACCTATGAGTCCTCACGGCAAATGGGACTGCAGATGATTAAAGATCTTGGGATGGGAGGTTATTCTGCATCAACCAGGTAAGCCTGAGCCCAGGCGCGGTGGCTCACACCTATAATCCCAGTACTTCGGGAGGCAGAGGTGGGCAGATCACCTGAGGTCAGGAATTCAAGACCAGCCTGGCCAACATGGCAAAACCCCATCTCTACTAAAAATACAAAATGAGCTGGGCATGGTGGTGTGTGCCTGTAATCCCAGCTACTCAGGAGGCTGAGGTAGGAGAATTGCTTGAACCCGGGAGGTGGAGGTTGCAGTGAGCCAAGATTGCACCACTGCATTCCAGCCTGGGCAAAAAGAGCAAAACTTCATCTCAAAAACAAAACAAAACAAAAAAAACACCCTGATTAGAGGCAGCAGAGGGTCTGGGTGAGTGCTGGAGGCCTGAGGGCGCTGCAGGGCTGGCTCTGAGGAAGGGGAAAGGCCGTGAGCCAAGGATGCGGTGCCTCTAGAAGCTGGAAAGGGCAAGAAATGGATTCTCCCTGAAGCCTCCACAAGGAACCAGCTCTGCCGACTCTTGACTTTAGCCCAGGGGCACTCCTCACCCACAGAGCTCTAAGATCACAGTGGGTTTTTTGAGCCAGCAAGTTGTGTAACTTTTTAGCATGGCTCCCAGGAGCATGAGTGTGGGCAGATACAGGAGAGGCCCAGGGGCTGAGCCTGGACACGATGATGTCAAAGCCAGGAAACTAGGGAGGGAAGGAGGCAGAGCAGCCGCCACGGTCCCAGGAAACCCAGAGAGGGTCTCAAACTGACGGCAGCGAAGAGGGTTCAGGGCACATAGACATGCAGAGGAGGAAAGTGTTTTCCAAGGAGTTCCACCATTAAAAGGAACAGATAGGCAAGGAGGTTTTTCTGTGTTTTTGAGACAACATTTCACTCCGTCGCCCAGGCCAGAACGCAGTGGTACAATCATAGCTCACTGCAGTCTCGGCCTCCTGAGCTCAGGTGATCCTCCCACCTGAGCCTCCTGAGCAGCTGAGACTATAGGCATGAGCCACCACAGAGAGCTAATGTTTTAGGTGTTTAGAGACAAGATCTCACTATGTTGGCCAAGCTGGTCTCAATCCTCCCGCCTCTGCCTCCCAAAGTGCTGGGAGTACAGGTATGAGCCACTGCATCCCACATAAAAATGTTTAAATTAGGAGTTTTTTGCATGGCCTTTCATACTAACTCTTCAGTTCCAGCATGTCTAAAAAACAATCTAAAACCATGCTGACTTTCAAACTCAGCCTCAAGTGATCCTCCAACCTCAGCCTCCCAAGTAGCTGGGACTATAGGTGTGTGCCACCGCTGCTGGCTATTTTTATATTTGTTACACAGACAGGGTCTGGCTTAATTGCCCAGGCTGGTCTTGAACACCTGGCATCAAGCAGTCCTCCCACCTCAGCCTCCCAAAGTACTGTGATTACAGGTGTGAGCCACCATATCTGGCCTCAATATATGGGTTTAAGAGTCCCTTAGATGTGACTCCAGAGAGAGTAAGCTGAAGGATGAGAATAAATTCAGACTAAAGAATGAATAATCAAAAAAGATACAGAGAAGAGAGTAAGATGGATTAATATACATTCAGTTGGAGTCCCAGGAGAGAAGAGAATGGGGCAGAGGTGATATTTGACAAAAGAAGCAATTGCTGAGAGTATCCCACAACTGATGAAAGCTGACCGTCTAGTCATTCAAGCCCTGGCCCCTTCCTGTGGACCTCCCTAAACTTGAGCCAAGGTCTCCTATCCACCTAAGAGCCCTCACCTCGTTTCTGCCTCTCAACCCGGCCTAATACTCTCCAGGTGCCAGTGACCCACAGGGAAGGGGCAAGGGCTTGAGGGTTTGGGGTATTCTAGACACATGGAAAGTACTTTGCAAAGACTGAAGGTTGGTGTGACGCTGAGCAGACTGAGAAGGATTCACTTCAAGCCAGTCACAGTGGCTCACGCCTGTAATCCCAGCACTATGTGAGACTGAGGCAGGCAGATAAGGAGTTCAAGACTAGCCTGGCCAACATGGTGAGACCCCGTCTCTACTAAAAATACAAAAATTGGCCAGGCGTGGTGGCTCACACCTGTATCCCAGCACTTTGGGAGGCCCAATGCTGGCCAATTACCTGAAGTTGGGAGTTCGAGACAAGCCTGACCTGAGAAACCCCATCTCTACTAAAAATACAACATTAGCCGGGTATGGTGGCACATGCCTGTAATCCCAGCTACTCGGGAGGCTGAACTTGAAGGAGAATCGCTTGAACCCAGACGGCAGAGGTTGTGGTGAGCCAAGATCACATCATTGCACTCCAGCCTGGGCAACAAGAGTGAAACTCAGTCTCGAGAAAAAAAAAATTAGCCAGGTATGGTGGTTCGCGCCTGTAGCCCCAGCTACTCAGGAGGCTGAGGCAGGAGAATCTCTTGAACCTGGGATATTGCAGTGAGCCGAGATTGTGCCACTGCACTCCAGCCTGGGTGACAGAGTGAGACTCCAACTCAAAAAAACAAGAAGGGCTCGCTTTTCCTGCTCTGCATGCTCTGGCATTTTCCCGTGGACACTGGCTGTGTATGGTTACGTCCCCAGACACTCCTGGGTGGGAAAAAGGAACCCCCGGTTTCAGTCTTGCTTCCCAAACACCTGGGCAATGGAGGTTTCCCACCAAAAAGGAAGAAAAGTTTCCTTTCCTCTCCTGGGCACCTTCCTCCCACCTCTTCCTTCCGGAGAGGCCTGGCTTGGCCTAAGCCTCGGCTGCCGTGCTCACTTACCTGTGTGGAGCTGGAGTCTGTCAGAGTCCCGGCTGGGGCGCGAGGAGCAGCGGATGGATGTGGCCGCCACTGAGGGCAGGCACTTGACGTGCAGGCCTAGGAAGAAGGCCTCCGTGCAGCTGCGCAGCTGGTGCAGCAGGGAGCTTCCCACCGGCTCCTCACTCAGGTCTGGGGGCAGAGCATCGCTGTGAGCCCCGTGGTGCCCCTGTCCACCTGGGACCCTCTCCCCTGGGAGTGCCCGCAGGCACCTACCTGCCTGCTGGGTGAAGGAGGCCCATGTGGACCTACCCTGACATCAAGCAGAGCATAAGGCTTGGAACAGAGATGGAAAGCATGACTTTTTCAAAAGGGCAAACACCAAGGGACATAGAAGAAAGGTTCATGCCCAGATGAAAGGACAGCAGTGACGATCGTGTGTAAGGTCAGGGAAGGGGTGGGCAGGGCCCCACCTGGGGACAGGGACTTCTAGGGTTAGTGCCAGGCACTGCGGCTGAGCAGGCGGCACACGGAGCCAGGCTGCCTGGGGCAGAGAGCAGGACATAGCAAGGTGCAGTTCAAGGCTGGAGAGGCAGCGGGGGCCTCCCAAGGGATACACACACCAGATCACATGTCAGGAGGACAGATGGACAGGACCAAGGGTGGAAGCCAGGAGACCTGTGAGAAAGTGGCTGCAGGGACCCGAGGCAGTGGGAAATGCAGAGCCCAGCCCAACCCAGGCCTCCTGACCCGGCCCCTACATCTCAAAAACATGCCCAAGTATCTGCACATCAGAGCATGAAGCATGAGGCTCTGCACCCTTAGCAGGGAGGTGGGGGAAGCGGGTGGCTCCCAAGCTGCTGGATTGGCTGCTATGGGGTGGTGGACGCTGAGACCAATGGACACCACAGGGTTTGGGTCCCGAGTATCGGGAAAGGGGCTGCATGGACCACCAGGGCTGGTGACAAGCCTGCATGAGGTGGGGCCAGCTGCCGTCTGTTCCTGCTCGGGATTGCCATCAAGATGCTGAAAGGCGTGGTGTGCTGGCCTCAGATGTGAATGCCAGCCCTTTTCTCCTCTCCAAGCCCGAGAGCCCCCGTCCTGTGTGCTGTCTCTGCCAGGCTGCCCTTGGCACGTGAGAGGCACAGAGGCTGGCCCAGCTCCTCGAGCTCGCCACACCTGCCTGTGCCGTTCCCTTCTGAGCACGGATGCCTGTCGTCTCTGCCCCCAGTCTACCCTGAGTCCCCCAAACTCTGTCAGACACAGACTCTGAGGAGAGTGACCACTCTGGGCCACCCTGCTTAGCCCAGCCCCTCCCAGCACAGCATCAGGATGAGCGGCCCAGCCCCAGGGTCAAATAGACCTGTGTTCCAGTCCCTAGCAGTGACCAGCTCTGCAACTCAGGCAGGTCAAGGGATCACTCCTAGCCTCAGGTTCCCCGCCTGTGAAATAGGCTAATCCTAATTTCGGCACACCCAATGAGGAAGTGATTTTTTTGTTTTTGAGACTCGCTCTTTCACCCAGGCTGGAGGGGCAGTGGCATGATTTCGGCTCACTGCAACCTCTGCCTCCCAGGTTCAAGCAATTCTCCTGCCTCAGCCTGCCGACTAGCTGGGATTACAGGTTCATGCCACCACACCCAGCTAATTTTTGTATTTTTAGTAGAGATGGGGTCTCGCCATGTAGGCCAGACTGGTCTCAAACCCCTGAAATCAGGTGATCTGCCTGCCTCAGCCTCCCAAAGTGCTGGGATTACAGGCGTGAGCCACCACGCCTGGCCTGGAAGTGATCTTTATACAGCATGTGGCTCAGTGCCTGGGACGGCTCTAGAGGCCTAGCCAGGACCGTGCACATCTGGATGAGGTCACACCTGCACGCAGACTGGTCCCAGAGCCTGGGCTGTCTGACCACAGTGTCAATGATGGGGGTGGGGAGGAAAGAAGCCTGGGCCCAGCCAGGACCTTCCTGCCTCCACCCTGGCCTCCCAACCACCCAGGGCCCTCTTCCCTCGTTTGCGTCCTGCCAGGGGCTATGCACAGATGCCCCCATCTTGTGCTCTATCCAGGCTGGTCCCCGGGGAGCGTGCTGCTGGCTGCAGGTGCCCCGTACCTATTGGCTGTAGGTAGATGTGCTTCCGAGCCAGGCTGGGCCTCCGGTGCTGCAGAGAGGCGTGGAAGGTCTGGAAGTCCTCAGGGGGCTCAGGGCGGCTCAGGAGCCAGTCAAAGGCTGTGCGGATAAGCAGGGTGCAGAAGAGTGTCCTCTGCGGGTTGTAGGCCTCGGCCAAGAAGAGCCGCTCAACAGGGGAGAAGACGGAGGCGTACAGCTGCTGCAGGGCCGCGTCGGTGGAGACCAGGGCGTCCTTCAAGGCCCGGGGCCCAAAGCTGAACTCTTGTGCCGGTCTGCACTGCAGCATGGTGGGTGGGCGGGGCCTGGCCACTCCTGGGATCCCCTGCTGCTGCCCATGGGCCACCCCGGGGACGGCCACGATCTCGTCCAGAATCTTCCCTGGGGCTGATCAGAGCAGCTACCAGCGGCTTCCCGAAGACGAACGCTGGTCCGAGGGCTCGCAAGGCCCAGCTCTGCCTGGTCCTGGACGTCCTCAGGCATGGGTACTTCTGGGTCCTCGGCACTCTGTGGGCAACATGAACAGGTGTCCCCTCACTGCTGGGCACACACAGCCCCCTGTCCCAGGCAGGGGGTGAGGCTGCCTCCTCCAAGGCCTCATGCAGCGGTCTCTGCCCAGGCCTGGGGAGAAGCTCCACAGAGAACGAGGGCATTGGAGAGAGCCCTGGCCCTCCAGGACACAGCACTGCCACCCAGCCAGCTTGGAAGGACCCCGCCAACCACTTCCTCTTCTCTAGCAGATTGGGTTCCATGGACCACCCAGGTGACGGCCACAGTCTCTTCCAGAAGCTTCCCTTATCCAGAACTGGGTATGGGGAAGTACTTTGCACTTGGAGAGGCCCCCAAGCCCATTTTCCATTCCCTCTCAGCAGCCAACTCTGTCAGCAGCCCTTCGAAGGATAACTTCCCCTCTCTGTGTGGAGCCCCTGCAGAGCTACAAGTGCCCCTCCAGGTGAAAACCAAATGCCTCTCTCCCAGGCATGATCACAAAGTGATCATCTGGGGCCCTCATCACCTAGGGCCCCCCCCCAAACACCTAGAAACCCTCATCACGGCAGCTCTTATCCCAATTACAAGCTTTCCTGACAGGTCCCTGTGCACCCAGAACCATATGTTGGGGGGGCCAGGCACCCCCAGCAGCACCCAGACGTCCCCAGGACACACATGAGGGTCCTGAGGCCCAGAAAAAGCAGTAAGAGCAGGTGTTCATGCCAAACCCCACCAGCTAGAAGCAGGGAGATGGAGAGGCAAGAGCAGATTTTAATGCCCAGGACAGACCAGGTGGGGAGGAGACAACGGGCGCCCGCGGTGGGTGGGGGGAGCTGGCAGAACCACAACAAAGCCCTGCAAACCAAAGGCTCCGACCCAGAGCAGCAGCTGCACATCCCCGTCCTCATCAGGAACACGTCTGGGAGCTGCCACTGCATGCTTGGCTCTGGGCAATGCTTCTGTCTCAGTCCTGAGCCTGTGAAACCTGCAAGGGCAGGTGGGGAGCGGGCCTGGTAGGGGAAGCCTCACAGAACAGGTAAAAGCAAAGTGGCAGTTGTCGGGGGAGGCTAGAAATGAACCAGAAACCGGAGAAGTGAGATGCACAAATAATGCAGCAAGGCAGCCACAGCTAAAGACATACGAATATACGCTTATGAATCAGCAGCCCGCAGACCAGGCTCCTCTAGAGAGCTGCAAAACCCACTTCTCTGCAGACCATCAAGTCACAAGACCTACTGGCCCTAGCTGGAAAACCAGCCTTTCTTTTTTTTTTTTTTTTTTTGAGACGGAGTTTCGCTCGTTACCCAGGCTGGAGTGCAATGGCGCGATCTCGGCTCACCGCAACCTCCGCCTCCTGGGTTCAGGCAATTCTCCTGCCTCAGCCTCCTGAGTAGCTGGGATTACAGGCACGCGCCACCATGCCCAGCTAATTTTTTTGTATTTTTAGTAGAGACGGGGTTTCACCATCTTGACCAGGTTGGTCTCGATCTCTCGACCTTGTGATCCGCCCGCCTCGGCCTCCCAAAGTGCTGGGATTACAGGCTTGAGCCACCGCGCCCGGCCCCTCTTTTTTTTTTTTTTTTTTTTTAAGATGAAGTCTTGCTCTGTCACCCAGGCTGGAGTGGCTCACTGCAACCTCCACCTCCCGGCTTCAAGCAATTCTCCTGCCTCAGCTTCCCGAGCAGCTTGGATTACAGGCACCCACCACCACACCCAGCTAATTTTTGTACTTTTTTTTTTTTTTTTTTTTTTTTGAGACGGAGTTTCGCTCTCGTTACCCGGGCTGGAGTGCAATGGCGCGATCTCGGCTCACCGCAACCTCCGCCTCCTGGGCTCAGGCAATTCTCCTGCCTCAGCCTCCTAAGTAGCTGGGATTACAGGCACGCGCCACCATGCCCAGCTAGTTTTTTGTATTTTTAGTAGAGACGGGGTTTCACTATGTTGACCAAGATGGTCTCGATCTCTCGACCTCGTGATCCACCCGCCTTGGCCTCCCAAAGTGCTGGGATTACAGGCTTGAGCCACCGAGCCCGGTGAATGTTTATCAACATTCAAGAGCCTGGCTACTTTATTTTTATAGAGTAGGGATGGGGGTCTCTCTATGTTGCCCAGGCTGGCCTTTACCTCCTGGGCTCAGGTGATCTATCTGCCTCCTGAAGTATTGGGATTACAGGCGTGAGCCACTGCACCTGGTCCTAATCTTATATATAATCTTAATATAAGATTATATAGGGCTGGGCACAGTGGCTCACATCTGTGATCCCAGCACTGAGGTGGGTGGATCACCCAAGGTTGGGAGTTTGAGACCAGCCTGACCAACATGGAGAAACCCTATCTCTACTAAAAATACAAAATTAGCCAGGCGTGGTGGTGCGTGCCTGTAATCGCAGCTGCTTGGGAGGCTGAAGCAGGAGAATCGCTTGAACCTGGGATGCGGAGGTTGTGGTGAGCCGAGATCACGCCATTGCACTCCAGCCTGGGCAACAAGAGTGAAACTCCATCTCAAAAAAGAAAAAAAAAAAAGATTTTATATGATATTTAGTGAATATATATTAATATATATTATTTATAACTTATTATTTATTTTTTTTATGTGGAGTCTCACTCTCTTGCCCAGGCTACAGTATAGTGGTGTGATCTCAGCTCACTATAACCTCTGCCATCAGCTTCAAGTGATTCTCCTGCCTTAGTCTCCCAAATAGCTGGGATTATAGGTGTGCACCACTGTGCCCAGCTAATTGTTGTATTTTTAGTAGAGACAGTGTTTTACCAAGTTGGCCAGCCTAGACTTGAACTCCTTACCTCAAGTGATCCACCTGCCTCGGCCTCCCAAAGTGCTGGGATTACAGGTGTGAGCCACCTCGCCCAGCCTATTATTTTATATATATTGGATAAATGAATGAACCCATGTGGGCCTACCCGGGTACCACCCCCCTCCACCGGCCTCTTTCAGAACCACTGATCACGCATCTCTCAACTGCTTCTGGCCGACTTGGGTCTGTTCTCATGGCTCCCCCTTGCTTACTCTCTGGCCCCCTGCGAAACTTACCCACTACGGCCCTTTCCAGGGCCACAGGATCTGGTCCTCTCCATCATCTGTGCATCCGATGACTTTTTCTTCCCCTGCGGTCCAGGAACAACAGTTCCACCCTGGTGTTAACCCACTAGGACCACCCTGTTCACTCCAGGAGTCCAGAAGCAGGAATTCCATCCCAGTATGAACTCGCCAGGACCACCCTGTGCACTCCAGGTGGCACAGGAGTGAGACCCATGCTGAACTCTGGTGGTGGGCATGGAGGTCTGGGCACAGGCTTAGTCTGTGTAGAACCCAAGTGATCCCAGCAAGGTGAGGCCTGGCTTCCCGTAGTGATGGGAATCGTGGTGCTTGAAAATCTGTGTGTAGGCCGGCCGTAGTGGCTCACACCTGTAATCCTAGCACTTTGGGAGGCTGAGGTGGGTGGAACCTGAAGTCAGGAGATTGAGACCATCCTGGCCAACAGTGTTGAAACCTCATCTCTACTAAAAATACAAAAATTATCTAGGCATGATGGCACACGCCTCTAGTCCCAGCTACTTGGGAGGCTGAGGCAGGAGAATCGATTGGACCTGGGAGGCAGAGGTTGCAGTGAGTGAGATGGTGCCACTGCATTCCAGCCTGGTGACAGTGCGAGACTCCATCCAAAAAAAAAAAAAACAAAAAACTGTGTGTTCAGGCTGATGTGGTAACTCAGGCTTATAATCCCAGCACTTTCAGAGGCCAAGAAGGGAGGATTGCTTGAGTCTAGGAGTTCGAGGTCAGCCTGGGCAGCATGGTGAGACCCTTCTCTACAAAAAATAAATTGGCTGGGCATGTTGATGCATGCCTGTAGACTCAGCTACTCAGGAGACTAAGGCAGGAGGATTGCTTGAGCTCAGGAGTTGGAGGTTGCAGTGAGCCATGAGTGTACCACTACACATCAACCTGGCCAACAGAGGAAAATCCTGTTTTATTAAAAAAAAAAAAAAAGCCGAGTGTGGTAGCTCATGCCTATATCCCAGTGCTTTGGGAGGCCAAGGCAGGTGGATCACCTGAGGTTAGGAGTTTTGAGACCAGCCTGGCTAACATGATTGAAACCCCGTTTCTCCTAAAAATACAAAATTAGCTGGGTGTGGTGGTGCATGCCTGTAATCTCAGCTACTCAGGAGGCTGAGGCAGGAGAATTGCTTGATCCTGGGAGGTGGAGTTTGCAGTGAGCCGCTTTCCTGCCATTGCAGTCCAGCCTGGGGGACACACTGAGACTCCGCCTCAAAACAAAAAAACTTTTATTATTTTGAGATACGTTCCATCAATACCTAGTTTATTGAGGGTTTTTAGTATAAAGGGCTGTTGAATTTTCTCGAAGGTCTTCTCTGCATCTATTGAGATAATCATGTGGTTTTTGCCTTTGGTTCTGTTTATGTGGTGAATTATGTTTATAGACTTGCATATGTGGAACCAGCCTTGCATCTCCGGGATGAAGCCTGCTTGATCATGGTGGATAAGCTTTTTGATGTGCTGTTGCAATTGGTTTGCCAGTATTTTATTGAAGATTTTTGCATCTGTGTTCATCATGGATACTGGCCCGAAGTTTTCTTTTCTTGAGTCTCTGCCAACTTTTGGTATCAGGATGATGTTGGTCTCATAGAAAGATTTGGGAAGGATTCCCTCTTTTTGGATTGTTTGGAATAGTTTCAGAAGGAGTGGTACCAGCTCCTCTTTGTATGTCTGGTTGAATTCAGCTGTGAATCTGTCTGGACCTGGGCTTTTTTTGGTTGGTAGGCTCTTAATTGCTGCCTCAACTTCAGCCCTTTGTTATTGCTCTATTCAGGGTTTCGACTTCTTCCTGGTTTAGGCTTGGGAGGATGCAAGTGTCCAGAAATTTCTCCATTTCTTCCGGGTTTACCGGTTTATGTGCATAGAGTTGTTTGTAGTCATCTCTGATGGTGGTTTGTATTTCTGTGAAATCTGTGGTGATATCCCCTTTATCGTTTTTTATTGC